GGCAGTTTATAACATTCTGAGACAGGAGTAAAAAATTAACATGGTTGCAATTTTATTTTGTTTGGTTGTTTGGCATTCTAAAATTTTGACAAAGCTGATATGTGGCGGACAGAGTCGGCCCATTTAAGTGAGTATCTTCCAAAGGTACATGTTTTTTCAAGTCCTTGTGTTACTCTCCCTTAAATGCAGACGGTGAACACTGTCTTGGGAAACATCAAGAGCAAATTCTGTCTTAAAAATCTGAAAAATACCCACTACCCACTACCCACACTAACGGTTTATCTCGTTGTGCCGGTCTCCTAATAGTCACGTAACAGATTCAATTTTTTGAGAAATTACAGTTAGAAATTGCGCTTTACATTTTGATGGAAACATAGATTTAGCCTGCAAACCTATAACTGGTGCTACCGGTAAATTTGTGTGTTCAATTCAAATTAAGACTAAATCAAAGACTTTAATCAATTTACAGCTCATTAAAATGCAATTAGACGAGTGGTTGCAAATATACAAATGCTTTCAATTGGATCTGAGCGATAACTATTTTCCTGCAACCCACAGAACAAAGCTTGCCTCTTGCATTAACACACAATAGAACAGAAACCTAAGCCACCTGTTTAGTTTAAGGAGAAGCTGTTGTTTGAGGGACAGATAATCATCTTCGGGTCCCGCCATCACTACACCCAGCCCCCGACACCCTCGCCGCCACCATCTGCTCCGGGGGTAGGGCCGTCTGTTTCCATGGGAACTCTGTACCCCTCCTCCCTATAAGCACTGAGGTTTCTTTTGTGTGCCCCACGCACATGTACCCCGTCATATACTGAGGGGTGCTCACAATGGGTTTCATAACAGTATAATGGACTATTTTTCCACTATCAGACAGTTAAACTAGGAGATTGTATTACAGATTAGATGATTTGGGTAATTACAGCACAGGAAAGATAAAGAAAAGAAATGTCTCTGCTGAGGACATTAGTCCCCCTCCCCCATGAAAACAAGGTGAGCTTGCAAATTAAGGCCACCCACCCCTTCAGCCCCATGCCTAGTCACCCTGTCCCCCTCCACAGACCGTCCCAGGCAGGAATAGGAAGGAGCAGTAAATCAGAAAAAAGAAATTCAGAGACCGCTCTGAGGAAAGATTGTATCCACTCACTGAAAGGGGTTAAACATAGAAGTCCCCTCCCACCACAAAGTTACTATGTTAGCTACTATGCAAAAAAGCAGAGAATTGCAACTTTAAAAACTTAAAAATCCACCTAACTTTATCAGTAAGCGGTCCATTGTGGTAGCGAGATTAAATCTAATATGACTTTGTTTGAATAAAAAAAAGAAGCTGTCGACAATCTCTGGTAAGTTCAGTGTATGGTACACACAGAGGACTGATGAACACACTTCTGCATAATGAAGTGAATAAACGTCATACTTCCTGTTGCCACCGTGTGCAAAACACAGCCTTCCAAAATGAGTTTGTGACCGCAGTAATTATATTGACTCTCCTTGGCGTGCATGGACCAACACCTCTGGCTATTGCTGTGATATCTATGGGTCTGTAGGCGTGATATACGGCACCTCAGAATACAGAATGCTGAACACGTCAGCCCTGCAGATTGTCAGCACTGATTTATTCTGGCTTATGTGAGGACATGTTGTCCATAACTCGTCTCCAACAAGCCCAATCCTTCTGTATCCGTCATATTGTGGGTTTAGGTTAAACTGAGTAATTCTGATCTGAGGGAGAACCTTATTAGGCACCATTTGGGATACACAGACTCCTAAACAGCACACAGATGGAAAACATTAGTCTTGCTTGGCAGGCAACTCAACTTCCCTGTTATACTGTGAATACAAATGTAACAATGCAGGCTGGATTTACTGCTGAACTTAATTATTGATAGTGAATAATTGCCAGAAGCCTTACAGGTGCAGGTAGATTTGTGACCCAAGTACGGATGATTGAAGAAAGGAATTGCAAAGAATAAAAAACAGCGTTGGGGAGTGGACAAATGAACAATAAAAACCGTTTCACAACTGCCAGCTGCAAGAGAAAGGAATTCCTCTCTGGCGCACTCAGCGAAGACACGGCTGGTCTTTTACTTTTTATTTTTTTTAAGCCATCTTGGATGGTTGCCAGCGTAAAATTGCGCTAATGCCATTTAATGAAAATGAGTCATGCTCCCTTGTGCATTTTTTCCTGGGTATGTTGGCAGGGTGACTGCCTCGAGAAGGCAAGTTAAAAGATTAAAAACCAGCAAGAGCATGCAGCAGGCATTTCTGCTAACTCAAACATCCTAAAGTGGCCATTTGTGGGCCTGTGCGGTTCATCTACTCTGAGAAGATGGTGTTAACACGGAGAGGAAAGGGAATCCCTTCGCAGTGTGTTTGTAACGTGGTGATACATACACACATCATCTCCTGCATTAGGCAGATGGGGAAACGCAATGCGACTTTTTTCCCCCATTGTCCTGGCCCTCTAAAGCATTCCAGTTGCCACCGTTGGCAAATGAGCTGACGAACAACTGTCTTAAGAGGGACGTTGTGGCTTTCCTAGAACTTGCACAAGCATTCAAGCACAACAACAGATGTAGGCTGACTCTTCCATCAAAAGTGGGTTTGTATGTGTGTGCCTTGGTAGGAAAGCAAACATCACAAGGGGATGATTCACGGTGGGTGAGGTTCTGAAGCAAACAAGAGGGCAAGTCTTGAGCAAAGCCCTTTCACCTCGAATGCTGCAACATCGTATCAACGGATCTGTCACCGCAGAGGGAAAACTGTCAGTGAGCAGCAGTCGTAAAGAACAGCCAGTACAGTACAGTTTTTGTGGTAAAACAGAGACAAAAATAGTATGGAGCAGTAACAATAACAATCGAGCAGGGGTTAGACCATATACACACCAATGAGGAGGAATCATAAAATGCTATTTATGAGGCCCACGCTGAAACACCACAACAATAGGAGAATATTTAAATCTCCTCTGTTGGGTAATCACAGGCCACTGGAGCACATTGTGTATGTCATACATCAGCATTTACGCAATCAACAGTTTTCCACTTGACGATGAAGAGCTCTTTTTCAAAATTAAATTACTCTGGAGGGTGTTTTTGAAAAGTTTTTGGGGTTTTGTCAGCTTGGATGAAATATGGAGAAACACAACGATGGCTTTATTCGAGCCCATCCAACCCTCTGGATGCAAACTGCGTCGATGCGTATTCGTCATAAAAGCGCATCCTAACGTAAACTGCACCACTCTCTTTCACAATGTGGCACGTCTGAGTAGCATGCTCTGCCTTGAAAATGACACCAGTCAACAGACAACAGTCAATACACCCTGCCTCAAAATAAAGGAAGTGAAAAACAACCCCCGTGGCTCAAGGGGCTATGACAGTACATTAACAATAAGAACGTCATTGTTCTGTATAAACACGGACAAACCAACTGTGAGGGTTGACATTAATCCTTACATCTGAATTCTAAGAAATAACAATTCCAACCAGCGTACGTCAATGTCAAGTATAACTGATTAACACACAAACATAAAAATATTCTGTATTAGCAACAAAAAAAAAGCTCATTTAAGATCGAGGTCTGAGGGAACCACGAGGCCGGGCTGGGCAGTCTCCAGATTATCTTTCTCTGTCATTAGGACTGCGGTTTACCAGGGCACCCCACATTGCACCCTATGAATAAAAGCATGCTTGTGGTTCACAATAGAGCTCCACTGCTCCCTGGGAAGGGGGGGAAGGGCATAGCATTCCTCCACTGACTCCCTGTTTGCAGCAGATATTAAACAATATCTCGCCGCTCGCAGTGAGCTCTCACCAGGGCCGCGGCCAGATCTCTGCGGCCCATTCGCGACAAGCAACGCGTAGAAGTAGAGTACACGTGCACGTGTTTTTTTGCTATGTGGAGGCCAGTAAGCAATGAAGACAGGCATTTCAGGAGATTCCGGGCAGAACAATGTGATCATTGAATTCATCGAGCGACTACCTCAGGAGACCGATGCTGACTGGATGCCTGCAATATTTAATCTGGGGGTAACTGCACATTTCTCAGGTCACAACGGTGGGGAAAGTGCAGCGTAAGCATGCTGGAAACTCAACTGCTAAAAAGGAAAACCTCACCTTTGATTGAGTGTAAGGCTCATACCATACTGTAGATGGTAGATACCACTTTGTTTTCTTCCTCTCTGAATAGCAAGTCCAGGAGTTAAGACACCGGCCCATTCACTTTGTGATGCATGACACGGCTGGTCCAGACCCCTTCAAGTCCTTATGGGGGACATAAATCCTGACGTGACATTATTAACAAGCATTATTACGTGTAGGGTGTAGCTTCAAAGAGGTGCTAAGGAGGGGGCTGAGGAAATACACGTGCCCCCTGCCAAAATAAGTGCGACATGGAGGAAGAGGCCTCGTGGTAGCAACTACTTCCGAACATCTGCATCAGCAGGAAGAGGGGCCACTCAGTAGCCTCACAGTTTGCTCTTATGTTGCTCCACATCCCAAAGGTTAGATGATGATAGACCTGCTTGGCTGACAGCTCTTGTGTAACTGATGCTATCGTCACCTGCTGCTCCAGGCGCTGTGGGCAGATCACACATTTCTTTAATTCAGGTTATAACATGAAGCACCTTTAAAATGACTTTCATGTGCGTTCTGTTGATAACAATCCAAATACTTTGCATCAACTGAAAGTTGTGCATTTCAAGTACTAAGCACAGTCTTTGAATTTCCAAGACCTTAATATTGCTTTGTTCACCAAATATGAGGCATTCATTATTATTATTATTATTATTATTATTATTCTAATAATTTTCCTTTTGAGTCCTTCTGGAGCCATAGGTTATTCTCAGTCTCAGAGTCCAGGGTAAAGTTCCAGCAGAAAGGATTGCTACAGGAATTCTGGCAGTTTTCCTCCACTCTGTGCAGACAAGGGGGTGGGGTGTCAAAATGGGAGGAGGAAAAGGAGGGGGGTGCTAGGAAATATTCTTTGTCCTCACCCCGCAGTACAGCACACAACTGGAGAAGGACACGGGCTCCTCGCGGAAAGGAAAAAAAACTGGATGTCTTAATATTAGAGCGGGAGGGCTTTATTTTAATAAAGAGAAAGCGGAGGAAAAGCTCTCGAGATAAGAGAGAACTTCGAGAAGCCGCCGCGTCAAAGCAGGAGGACCCAAAATCACGACTGACGGTAAGATAACGCACACAATCAAATAAATCGCGATAACGCGAACGCGGCAACATCACCACGTAGCTCTTTAGCCTTCGCTAACAACGGTGCTTTAACCCAAGTTATATCTTTAACTTTGGGGAGGAACGGAGAGTAGCTTTTTTTTCCGAAGTTGCTAGCTTGATTTCGGCTTTTTTCATAACCCGTATTCACAAACCCAGGGCCAGGCAGACGTATTGTTTTAACACGAACGTTAACATAAATTCACGCGCACAGGCTGGCTGGACGCAGCGCTAATCCAAACACGCCAAACAATTCGACCACATTTCTGAAATTATTAGCAAGTTACGGGCATACTGGTTGTTGTCATAGCATCACATGCCATGTAATTCTGCTGGTATGCAGAAAATGTGTTTTGTCCTCGTTTAATGGGCTTCTTGACTATGTCGACACGGGTTGGTGATGGAGCAACGCGTCTTGTGCCCCCCCCCACACACGTACGTCTTCATAGTCTGGAGAATAGTGGCATTTATATTCCTACTTGTAGCACTACTTGCTGACGGTGTCCAAACAGTGTGGCGCAACGTTACACCGTTAGCTCAATTAACCATCAATGTGTGGCGCATGTGGAGTCGCGCGCGGTGACGTTGTGCCGTTAGCCACGCGGAGGATTTTTTTTCTCGTGTGGTTCGTGTAAATTTGATTAATGTAGTTCTCCACTAAACATTTTTATTGTCTAAATAATTAAAGCACCTTATCAGAACGTGACCCACACCTCATGTTCTGACCTAACATAGTTTCTACAGCGTTTATGGTATTATGTCTCGTGGTGATATGAAGGGTGAATTACCCCCCTCCTCTTAGTTTTACCAGTCAGTCACTCCCCAGTTTGACCCCCATGCAGGTCATTTTTCTCTCTCCTGGTTTCCTCTCTGAGCTCAGGGCCTCTCAGCTGTAGGGCTTTGGGATAAGGGAGGGATGGCCATAACTAGACTCCCAGATGTGAGAGCCACAAAAGCCCCTCTGTTCTGCAGCGCTCATCAGTGTGGAGACACTGCCGCTTGACTTTGCTCCCATAGCCTACTCAGACACACCGGTTTGAAGTGCCACAGACAGATGATGCCTCCGAAGATGGTGCATAAACATTGACATGTAATGTGGGTAGGAAGCACGGTCAGAATTGATGACACAGAGTGTTGTGTATTTGATGGACTTTAGACAGACTTCCACAGAGTTTTTTTTATTTGGGAATACTCAAGCTTCAAGATATTAACATTAAAGAAGCCATGCAAACTTTTTATGGTAATTAGTAGTCATCATAGTGATAAATTCACCAGTGAGTAACAATCCAATCCAAAATGTTCAGTTGTACGTGTAACGATCCTCATCACAATGTGTCGACAAGTATCAATATTGGTATTGCCCTAAAAGAGTTCCTTTGTGAACACATGTTGTTTGCCCTGACAGTAAGATGGGTAGAAAGTTGCTACCAGGAGCAACGAGGCAGAGGAGCGGCACAAACACACCAGGCCCGAGATGCCTATGGAAATGACGACAAATACAATATTGTAGGAAAGAGTTACAGACTTGAGCTTTAAAGTCAGATTATTCCCCCTCCCTCTGTGTGCTTTTTAAAAGCAAACGTGGCACACATTCTCTCAGAGATGTGGGCCTGTGGTTTTCCTTGGGCATGGATGTCGGCTCTGACAGTGGCTTGGGGGCAACTCGCAACCGTTAACCTAGATTACACGCGGCAAAGTGTGCCGTTGACTTTGACGTCTGTTGCAGCCTGACATTTTAGGTCATTTGATGATGACGACGTCACAATAAAGCCGATAATGCAAAGCTCTGCAGTGACTCGCAAACTTTGATTTCACCGTGTATGACATTTTATTTGTTGCGAGAAAAAGTCCTCCGTATCCACGTTCAGTTTGAAAACCACAAGCCTCCACTGAATGGAGGCTTTTGTCAGTTATCTCGATGTGGAAACCCGACCCTGCAGTCGTCAGACGTTCAGGTGTAGCTGCAGGATGCAGTATCGCGTGCAGTGCTGTAGAAAGCCACAGATGAAGGATAATGACAATGGCAGTCTTTGTGAGCAGTAGGTAGGAGACCCACACCAAACAACTATGCACGGGACATTTGTGGAGAAATGTGTATCAGTCAATCAATGATCACCTCAGAGAGTGTGGTGGAGCCACCGGGTCGAGAAGTGAGTTCACTTAAAGCGGGTTGTTCTCAGTGGTCGTCACACAATGGCAACTGGTTGTGCCTTATTCTAACTCTTTATTTTTCTAAGGACGGTTTCCTCCTTAACACCAAGCATTCATACAGCACTCCCATTCACACCTGGGAGTCAATACAAAGCGCTCTTCTGGAGCACTTGGAGCTGATGTATCATCTGTAAAAGCTACACAGTGTTACTTTTTATGGGATTGTTCCAAAGTACATGGTCTCTTTGCATCTTTTTTATTCAGCGGAGAAGTGTAGATCTGTATGGAATTATCGGTTTTCAAAACGTTTTTGCTGAATTATACTGAAATGGAATATGTGAATATTACACTGTTGCCCTGGAAGTGAGTGAAGAAGGTTGCTGGTCCTGTTATTGAGTTGAGGTTTAAAAATAAGTTTATGTAACTTCATGAGTGTCTTTCATATTTACACAGACTATATTTGTTTGACTCCATAGCTCTTCTATAGATTAATTTAGCAAAATGGATGAAGCAGCTGGTCTTGAAACAGAGGAAAGACTTTTATTTTTACATTTTTTTTTAAGAAGACAATCATTCCAGTCATCGAAACAAGAACAGGTCTTTGCGTTCACATTGCAGATAATGATTTGGTTACAGATGTAGGTGAAAACATGTTCTTGAACCTGTAAATGTGTTGTCCCTTCTGCATGTCTTATTTAGATCCAGCTAGTGTTGTTCCTGTGCAAACATTGTCAATTATTCATATTTTGGCTTCCAATACAATGTAGAGATTTAGATTTGGTTTGACAATCGTTGGCATTGCATAGTTTTTCATAGCCCTTAAGCTTTGTGTTCGTCTAGAGTCTATTTTGTTCATAGCATTGCTACTTTAAGGTTAGGATCCCTATCCTTTCCTGAGGTACCAACCAGGCAGGAACTTTAAAGAGATTAAATATGCTACCACTACTGGTAAAAAACACATTGTTAAAAACATCAATGTCCTGTTTTGTGCCAGCCACAGCGAAGAATTCCCAAATGTGCCATTGGCTACTTGATACCTGCTTCATCTTGTGGTAATCTGAGTTCGGCCACTGCAGAGTTTCTCTGGATGGATAACGCAGATTCAAAGATTTGTGTTTTCACAAAATACAACTCCAGATGTTAGAGTTGTGAACTGGGTCTGACGCCGGAAGGTGAGAATGGTGTAATCTTGTAAGTCACAAGATTACACCATTCTTGTAAGTCACAAAGACTGTTGTAGACGAGCCTGGCAAGTTTACGGCAGCGGTTAATTACTCAGAAGTTGTTTATGAGGTTGGTCACAGATGGTGTGAAACCAAACCACAGGAACTCCTCGTTGCCTCTTTCTTGTTTTTTTTTACTATCTGCTCATTACGCTGTTTTGGCAATCTTTTAGTCGGACCGTGACGAGACACTCTGAACACCGGAGCTCATGAGCTTTTTCATTAGTGTGATAAAGCCCTGAGCACCTTGCCTCCATGACTTCACTTCAGTCTTTTTACATGGCAGTCTGGGACCTTCTCAGGGATGTCTGCCTGAGCATGCCCTTTCTCATGGCAGTGATAGTTGTCCTGGGATGTCTCAGCTTTGTAGCAGTGACACAATAGCTCCCCCATGTGGCTATCTGGTGCAAACACATGGGAGTCAATGACCCTGTTCACACCTGGCACTGGAATGCGTCTAGAGTGACCGGTGGTGATTGGATCTCATTTTCCCCGTTCTATGTGCAAAAAAGAAAAACACTCCGACGAGCTATTAGGCTATATAACTTTATATTAATCTATTTTGCTGAGTTGCCTCTTGATGCAGTGTAAATGTCTAGTGCTTTTATTGTGAAAGGTCAGCAGAAGGAGTGAAGTCGTTATGTGCTGTTGATGACAAAGTGGCAATAAAAGTGATTGCGATTTATTTTGTAACCTTCATAAAGTATAGGCGCAATGTAACCCTCGGCAACACAAGCTGTTGTTGATCATTTTCCTTCAGGGGGCGCGCACACACACGCACAATATGGGCCAGGTCACATTCACGTACTGAATTGCTAAAAGAATGGGCGTATTAATTTGTTTTCATGTCAAATGTTTTGTTATTGAGACTAAATGTTTTCAATGATAAACTAAATATTACCATCGCGTGCTCTCCTTTTACCGTTGTTTACCTCTTATCATTTTGTCATCCGATTTGAATTTCTTTCCTCCTCTTCTGCACAGGTCTGAGAGGTTCCCTCCCGTTCCAGAGGCAAAATGAGCTGGAGCTTCCTCACGCGTCTGCTGGACGAGATTTCCAACCACTCCACCTTCGTGGGCAAAATCTGGCTCACCCTCCTCATCGTCTTCCGCATCGTGCTGACCGCCGTAGGCGGCGAGTCCATCTACTACGATGAACAGAGCAAATTCGTGTGCAACACTAATCAGCCCGGTTGCGAGAATGTGTGCTACGACGCGTTCGCGCCGCTGTCGCACATCCGCTTCTGGGTGTTCCAGGTGATTATGATCACCACCCCCACCATCATGTACCTCGGCTTCGCCATGCACAAGATAGCCCGCATGGAGGACAGCGACTACCAGCCGCGGAACAGGAAGCGGATGCCAATTGTGAACCGTGGCGCCAACCGGGACTACGAGGAAGCGGAGGACAACGGGGAGGAGGACCCCATGATCCTGGAGGAGGAGGAGATCGAGCCGGACAAGGAGAAGCCGGTGGCGGAGAAGCCCAGCAAAAAGCACGACGGGCGGCGGCGCATCAAGCGCGACGGCCTGATGAAGATCTACGTGTTTCAGCTGCTGTCGCGCGCCACCTTCGAGGTCTCGTTCCTGTTCGGGCAGTACATCCTTTACGGACTGGAGGTGGTGCCGTCGTACGTGTGCACGCGCTCCCCCTGCCCGCACACGGTGGACTGCTTCGTCTCCCGCCCCACGGAGAAAACCATCTTCCTGCTCATCATGTACGCCGTCAGCGCCCTGTGTCTGCTCTTCACCCTGTTGGAGATCCTGCACCTCGGCATCAGCGGCATCCAGGACTGCTTTTGCATGCCGCGGCCCCCCAGCCCCCGGCACACGGCCACATCCAGTCACAGGTCCTCCATCTGCCGCCAGCCGTCGGCGCCCCCGGGCTACAACACGGCCCTGAAGAAGGACCCGTCGGGGAAAATGGGCTTCAGGGACAACCTGGGAGACTCGGGTCGCGAGTCGTTCGGGGACGAGGCGTCGTCACGTGAGCTGGAGAGGCTGCGGAAGCACCTGAAACTGGCCCAGCAACATCTGGACTTGGCGTATCAGAATGGGGAAAGCAGCCCGTCGCGTAGCAGCAGCCCCGAGTCCAACGGCACCGCGGTAGAGCAGAACAGACTAAACTTTGCCCAGGAGAAGCAGAGCAGTACCTGTGAGAAAGGTGAGGCTTCTTGATCTTTTATTGTTGTATAAATTCGTGCTTTTGATTTTTAATCTTTACTTTGTAGATCAATATGAAATGCTTCACTGACACCATCTCTCTGTACACAGGTCTCCGTCCATAGGTTCTCACGAGCCCAGCTGACACTGTAGACTTGAATTCACATCAGGATCAGCGAGAGGACATAAGGGAATCAAAGTGTGTGTGTGAGAGTGTGAGAGTGTGTGAGTGAGTGACATTACATGTGCTTGAGGTGGATGAAGTCAGCCCAAGCCTTCCAGTGTTACGACCGGTCGAGCATCGAGTCAAACGAGGAGGAGAGCGGCCGTCTCGAACCCAGCAATACTTGAGACGCCCGTCTGAAGATCCAAAGTGCTTACAAACTACCGTCGTGCAGCAAGAACGGTTTCTGGTTATCATGTACTTCTCCCTCAGGGCAGCTATTTGTTTTTATATTTTTTTATTGTGAGACTTTAGAGCGATTAGTTTTTTTTTTTTTGTTTGTTTTTTAAAGAGTTTGTCCTCAGTTGGAAGTCCACAGTGAATGCATCTCAAGTTTGCCTTAGACCTAAACTGGAACTCTCGTTTTATGGCATTTTGTTATGGTATGGTCAAGCCCGTTGTAGTGCAAAAAAACATGTTTAAACTGTAATCTTGTACTTTTGTGAGAAAGTGAATCGGTGAGTGAGATGCAAAAAAAAAACAAAAGGTTAACGGACAAACGCACCACTCGTAGAAGAAAGGTACTGGAGCGATTGTTGTGCTGATGAAGACTTTTTGAACAGTTAATATTCATACAAAGGTTTCTCTCAAGTGTGTATCAAATCTTTTTTTTCCTTCAATTGTTTTGACAATGTTGGCACCGCACTCAGCATTCCCAAGCCTGGTGCTTCGATGGTAACTGGAACACACTTGGGAGGGGGCCTCTGTCCAAAGGAACAAAGAAACCTGGGTAATGCTTGAAAAACATGTAACTCTTGATATCGTCTTGCTTTGTTTAAACATGTATTTGAACTGTTCTTTATTTTTGTATTGAGTATTGTGGTACCGACGAGCGGCTCTTGTCACTGTGGCAGACATGATTTTGACTTTAAACGAATGACATTTACTGCTGTCTTAGTTGCCTACAAACCCGTCTGTAACCGGTGTGTTGTGAAAGTGGTTCGGTACAATTTGAGTTCAACTGCAACCATTTATTTGCATTTTCAAAAAAAAAATATGGACAACCTGCAGCTTATGTCTTTATTTACACATCGTCTCTGGCCAGCAAACATTTCATTTTTCCGTACGGACCTAGATTTAATTATATCTTCAAGCTAAATAAGGGAAAAATACTGTTTTGGTTGATGTTTCACGTCTGAAAGTGCAGATTTTTTGTGGATTAGTGTCATCGCTGTTCCAGAGTCCCAATGAAGGTTGTAAACCATGTAATCATTTCAATGTGAAGTCAATGCCTTGAACGCGCTCTAAGACGCCATCTTTTTGTATTCTGAATCATACCCACAGTGCCAATTACTGCCAACTCAAATATTGTCATCTCAAGTTATTTTTGAACAATGCTTTTTGTACTTTTTATACCTTTTGTATCGATTGTACTCTGTGGTTAGTTTTTAAAATAAATTTTTTTCAACAAAACAGTTGTAGTGTGGTAGTAATGGTTTCATTCTGATAGTATTACTTAGCATGAAAATAATTTAAGCCAGCGTCTTGCTCAAGGACACATCGACATGCAACTAGCGTAGCCAGAGCCGGGAATCAAACCGCTGAACCTCTGATTGAAAGACGCCCTGCTCTCCACTACAAGAACGAAAGTTACGAATGTAACTACGGTTCTATGAATCCTGGATGACCGCCGAGGCAGTGCTTAACACTGGATATCTTCTGTCTCGCGCATGCGCAGGTCGAATATTTATACCAACAAAGTCACCTGTGACCTCGGATGACCCCCGTCGTCTATAAGTTCCGGTGTCATCCTGAGTTCAGTCCTATGGAATCTTCTCGCGAGTTCACGGGATTCCAAGTGACCAAGAACTCTGGCGGTCATCCAGGATTCATAGAACCGTAGTTACATTCGTAACTTTCATTCTATTTCATCCTTACTGACCGCCAGAGGCAGTGCTTAACACTGGATGACTTATACCAAAAGAGTCATGAGGAAGCACAGTAACTACCTCGTATAGCTCCGGCAGAGAAAATTGGCAAAAGAACCCTCCCCAGTGGGTGAGGGGTGGCAACGTTAACTATGTAGTGTTTGGTGAATGTGCTCGGTGATGCCCATGAGGCCACAGCACATAGATCCTCCACAGGCACACCTCTCAGGGCTGCCCTTGACGTGGAGACACTCTTGGTAGAGTGACCCTTCACCCCGGATGGCCGAGTGCAGTCGCTCACCTTGTATGTATAGGCAATGGCCTCCACTATCCAGTGGGATAGGCGCTGTTTTTTAGAAGGAGCACAGCCCTTCTTAGGCTCACCATAACTGACAAAGAGCTGCTCCGACTGCCGTATGCAGGCGGTGGCTTCCACATAAGCTCTGAGGGCCCACACTGGGCACAGCAGCCTTGACCTCTCCTCTCTCAATGGGGGGGGTCAACTTTGCCAGCTGGATAGGCTGGTTGATATGTGAACGTATCAACACCCTTAGGAGAAACACTGCATTAGGCCACAAAGTGACACCCAAGCCATCTGAGTTCCACCTCAGACATGATTCTTTCACCGACAGGGCATGCAGCCCGCCCCCACATTGAGCTGAATTGACGGCAAGGAGAAAAAACCTTTTGGCCGATAGCCATCTCGGCTCCGCCTGTGCCAGGGGTTCAAAAGGAGACAAGCATAAGGTGTCCAGTACCAAGGGTAGGTCCCATGCAGGGGAGACCGGCCCTTATCTAGGAGGGACTGTAGAAACTCAGTACAGCAGGCACGGGGCGCTGTACTGGGACCTTGTTCTGAGCCGCACACCAGTCAGAGAACAGCATCCACTTGTCGGGCCCTCCCGTGACCCATAGTTGAAGGCGGCAGGGATTGGAATGCCAAATCCGACCTTCTAGTTGCGACAGGAGATCCCTCCTGTCGGGGAAGAACTCTGACAAGCGTTCAGCAAAATTAGAGGGAATGGTGGAAAGGCATAAAGAAGATCCTCTGGCCACGTGTGAGCCAGGGCATCTTGACCCAGAGGACTGGTCCTCTCCGTCAGGGAGACCCAGTGGGGGCAGTGGGTCGACACGTCTGGATGCAGCCGCCACTCTCACGGTGGAGGCTTGTGACGGAACAGGAAAACCACAACCTGGTTCCGTTCTCCTGGTGGGTACATTGCCCACAGGCTGGTCAGGCGAGGGGCCTCCCAAGTCAGAAGGGCACAGTGATCCCCGTAGCAACTTCTGCAGATCTGGTGCCCCATTGATAGTTTATGTGAAATCACAGCAGAGGTGTTGTCCAACCGGACAAGCACATGCTTTCCCTTCAAATATGGAAGGAAGTGCTTGAGCGCTAGCTCTAGAACCTTGACCTGCCCCTGCGGTCTTTGAGCAGACAACTGCCCCCAAGCTGTCCTGGTCTGTCACACTGCACCCCGCCTTGAGAGGCAGGTATCTCCCGGTGGAATGGAACCGAGCCCATGGGGACACTGTTTGCCAGATATGCACTCTCCCTCCATGGGGATAGAGTGAGTAGGCACTGTTTTGATATTATTGCCCTGTATCTGTGCCACTTGGAATCCAAGTGAAGGCTGTTCAGCCATCTGCAAACCCAAGGGAACGACAGTTGAGGCAGCTGTCAGTTTACCCAATAGTCGGAGAAAAGGATGTAGGGCAACCGTCTGCCCCCTCGGAAGGGGGAGAGGTTGTTGTCCACATGCTGGGGCGACAGACAGGCCCTCATAGGGCCACACTAATGAAGGTTATGCTCTGAGAAGGGCTCAGGTAGCTCCTCTCCATGTTCACCTTGAGGCCCACCGGGCCACGTGAGAGAAGGCGAGCAGTGTCCTGTGGCGCCTGAAGCCGGGATGGCGCCCAGGTCAGCCAGTTGTCTAAGTACGGCAGTATGTTCACGCCCTGTGATTGCAGGGGGAAAGGACAGCAGTAACACACCTTGTGAACACCCATGGGGAGATGGGAGAGTCCGAATGGAAGCACCCTGGACTGAAAGTGGTGGAAACGTAGAAACTGCCTGTGGTGATGCACCATGGGAACATGGGAATAGGCGTCGATAGACGTGAACCACTCTCCCTTGGAAATCAAAACATGGTCCACGGTTTCTTCTTCTCCACAAAATTTACACTTTCCATTATTATGCTTTCTAATAACATAGAGGGAACTGTTCAGACCAGTATGGCCATTCCTTAGTCTTGTCATAATCATCTCCTCTTTTCTAGTTTGTCCACTAGATCCTGCACTCCCAACCAATGGTTTAATTTTAAACAGATATCTTCCTTTACTCCCTTTATTACATTCGTTCTGACATATCTTTTTGATTTGTCCCTTAATCACCACTTTAGCTTCTGACTTACTTATTAACGGTATTTTACGGTTATTAACGGTATTTTTCCCACTCTTCAAAGCCCTTTTTGCTGCTTTATCTGCCTTCTCATTGCCATCGACTCCAACATGGACCCACACAAAATTAACCGCTATCCGCATTTGATGGATTCTTAAAAATGATTGTAGAATTTCAAACAATAAATCCTCTCTGCTTCTGGAGTGGCAAAATGTCAAACTCGTTAGCACTGCACATGAGTCTGATGCAATCACCACTCTCTCTGGCCTGACATCCTCTACCCACTGTAACGCAATAACTATATGGCCATCATCTCACATGTAAACACAAATAAATCATCACTAAGTCTCTTCCCACACTCCAAATGGAATTCTGGGATTACTGCTGCTGCTGCTATTCTACCAGTTTTAGGGTCTTTAGATCCATAAATCTGTATTTAATTGTGGTAACTAATGGATGACTTGAATATCTTACAGTTTCCCCCACTTTCATCTCTGATCAGTTCAAGGAGGCCAAGATCAATTTCAGGCTGTGGCAGTAACCAAAGAGGAATAGCTGGCAGAACCACAGCTGGAGAATAACTGCAGTAAACCTAATTCACTAGCCTTCTTCTTAATTAACAACCCAACCAAAGCTCTGTGTTGGCCTTTTTGTCATGTTCCCAGCATGGCTCGATTGCACTCATTGTTGGATGGTTGTTATGCCCTTGTAAACTGACCCAATATGTCATCATGATCTGTATTCTTCTCAACTCCAACGGCATATCCCCCATTTCTACCTGCAATGCCGGCATAGATGTTGTTTTAAAGACCCCACTACATATTCTTGACGCTTGTATTATATCCAGTTTTCCCAACAAGGTTTTAAACGCCGACCTATATGCCACACATTCATAGTCTAGAACTGATCTTGGGTGACTGTGGCTAAGTGGAGTGCAGGGCCGTCCTTCAATCAGAGGAGCGGCGGTTCGATCCCCGGCTCCGCTAGGAGCATGTCGATGTGTCCTTGAGCAAGACACTTAACCCCAAAATTGCTGGTCTTTAAGTTTGGATGTCTTTTTATATATGTAACTATGTTATTATTATAATTGAGGATATAAGATTGGGCATATTTTAGTTCTTGGATGTCATATTTATTTAAAATTTCTATAAATAAATATATGTGAAGATAGCATCATTTCTAAATCATACAACCGTAAATTTAAGAAATTTAAAAACTGAACCAACTGTCCAAACATCACAGCTACATAAACAGGCTACACACGGAGGAAAAGCAATGCTGCAAGTTTCCATCAGTGATAATTGTGCTTTTCTTTTAATACGTTTTGGGATGCTTCACAATCATTAATCGATGGACACATTCCAGTGCTCTGACTGAAAAAATGTAGGATGTAGGCTTTCTCAATAAATATCTTTATTTACAGATGCTGAATAAATAACCTTATATATTATTATTGTTATTGCACAAAATGAGACTAATAGCCAACAATCTAGCGTTAAGTATTACAATTAGACAGAAAATTAGGATAAAAAATTTTATATACTATATTTATCCTGTTAATTAAGGATACATTTGTCTCTGCATTTGACCCATCCCTATATGACTCACGCTGTACGTCTGACTCACTCTGTACGTCTGACTCACTCTGTAGGTCTGACTCACGCTTTATGTCCGACTCACTTTGTACATCCGACTCACTCGGTATGTCCGACTGTCTGTCTCTCTCTCTGTCTGTCTGACTCACTCAGTACATAAAACTGTATGTCTGTCTGTCTGACTCACTCGGTACATAAAACTGGCTGTCTGTCTGTCTGACTCACTCGGTACATCTGTCTGTACGTCTGACTCACGCTGTATGTCTGACTCACGCTTAATGTCCGACTCACTCGGTACGTCCGATGCACGCTTTGTGTCCGACTCACGCTTTACGTCCAACTCACGGTGTACGTCCGACTCAC